CCCTAACACTACAAAATACTTTTTGGGTGTTTCATTCCCACCAGTCAGTAATGCTGGTGGGCGGGCAGTCCCTCCGGACTACGCCGGAAGGTAGGGCGGAAGGCCCTCTTCAGCCTGCTTTCAGGAATCGTGGGAATGGGTGGGTGGTGGTTCGGGTGAGAAAGATGAGACGAACGAAATGAAAACAGAAGAGAGTGAAAGATTATCTGTGGAATATTACTGCCTCCGCATTTGCCTAAGTGGTCCAAGGAAACCACAGAAAAACTTGGACCAAGGCAGATGTACCCGGAATCGAACCGGCGTCATCCCGAATGCTAAGCAATGGTCTAAACCTCTAAGCCATGCCGCTCGGTCCTAACACTAGAGCAACCCACATCCTTAACTATTTGCAAACAGAAATTTAACTTAGGTCTACCTCGCCTCTAATATGTCTCGTAATATGACTATACCCTCATGCTTGAGAAGGTATCCTACTAACCAATCTCGCCCATTTCTTATTGACTTCCATAAAATTCTCTGTTCTCCTATTCTTTCTAATACCTCTTCATTTCTAACCTTCTCTATCCACGGTATCCTCATAATTTGCCTATAACACCACATTTCGATCGCTTCTAACCTTTTCTTTTCCGTAGCGCCCACCGTCCTTGTTTCGAACCCGTACAGCGCCGCGCTCCTTCTTTTTTGAATTTCTAAATTAACCGTTCGCGAGCATAAAAGTGACTTCTTTTTATTGAAGACGACTCGACCCTGCGCTATCCTCTGCTTTATATCCTTACTACTCCTTCCGTCCTGACTTATCTGACTTCCTCGATACCTAAAATCAACCACTTCTTCTAATTTTTCGTCTCCTATCTTTATATTCGCTCTTTTCCTACTTTTTCTTCCCTTGCATACCAGTATTTTTGTTTTACTTTTATTTATGACGATGATGATGATGAAAATACATACACAAAATCGCGTTATAGACACGTTTCTGTTTCATTATTGTTGCTAACAATACAAAGTTTTGATGTCGCTACATTGGATCGTTAATTTTAAGATTCTCGTTTATTAAGACTTGTAACTTTGTGACTTTATGACGTCCGCTTGTGGACGTCATCGTCGATATTGTGTACGCGATTCATAAGTAAGGATCCCAGTGACATTATTTATTACCATTGTCTGGAAAGACAAAGAACCCGATCTCTCGCACACATACTCAGTACATACATAATTCATTCGCGAAAGATTTTGCTCGAATCATTTCGTGCGCTGTCATTGGACTATTTTGAAGTAGCTCATTAAAGGCATATCGGAAAAGCTGACAGTCGATGTCATAAAATTATCATTTTCAAACGACAAAAAAGGGCGATCGTGTGTTGCCAGATTATATCAGGGACGGCTCGTGAATTCACTTGATAAAAATAAGAAACCATATTTGAGTATAGTTGTATGCAAGTGTTTGCTTTATACCAAAATGGATGACGAAACAATGGAGAATTAAATGTTTACAAGTAATAAATACACAATTTTTTCTCATTTTGGTAAATGTATTTTCAATTAAATTATCCGATGTTTCCCTTGTTTGTGTGGTACTTCATATCAGCATTATTCACTGAATAAAGTTTTTGTTTAACCACACAGGACAGGTCATTAGGACCATAAAATATACAACGCAATGTGCTAATAACTGTAAACCAACAATTAATGCTGCTTTACACTACATGTATATGGTAATTTTATGACTAGATGATTATGAATCATATGAAATATTAATTCTGCATGATAATATGAGGATATTGGGCATATTTGTGTACGGTTTATATTTTTCCAACAAATTATTTCCGGTTAGAGTACGGCATTGTTTGTTAGGAACTGTATGTAACACTTTTATTTTTTAATTTAGGCGACATTTTCTTGATGCTTCTTTTATGTGCAGTCAACGTGACTGAATCAAATCTATGCATCTATACAGGGTGTCCCATTTATAATAATGAAAAAAAAACATGGATTCCTGACACAAAATACAACAAAAAAGTGTTATACAATTTTTCAATTCAGTGACGATTGAGCTCGCAAATCGTCTTTGCAAATTTGAACGTACAATTCGTTTCATTACGGGCCTGGATCTAGGCGACTAACGTCGCTCAGCTGATCTAGTGCGGATGTAACAAGTACCTATCGGGAAGAAGCCAAATGCACTTCCACCTTGTAAAAAAAAAGTTAAGTGAAAAAGAAATGCGTGCCTTTTATAAAAAATGTTGAAATTGTCCGCCATTCGCTTCAATGCAACACTGACAGCGACGTACCCAGTTGCTGCGAATTTTGGCGTAGTTTTTCTAACATGTTCAGTCATCTAATGGACCTTAACGCGAGTGCATTTTCTTCGGCTGATCCGTAACTTAATACCAAACAAACAATAACATTATCCCAAAAAGCAGCTGATTCCGACCTACTGAAGGTGAATTTTTCTAGCAATCGTAATTAATTTGGGATTGTGCAGGGCCGGCATCCAAACTGTTAAAATTTTTTATTTTGTTTCAAATGTCAAAAGTGATAACATTTTATGTTCCAAATGCCCGTAGGAAGCTGTGGTATAAATATTAATTATTATAACTGGGACACCCTATACTCGTACGTATAAATGTTGTGCTTCTGGTCGATTATCACATGTCATTACATATGAAGATTGGTCTCCTTATCTATAGTCCTCACGGCAACCAACAATACACCTGAGTATAGACATTTAGACCCGTCCACTCTTGTAAAAACAAACAATTTTAAGTTAATATTTGCAAGAAAAATTAACGACAGACCTGTAATCCTAATGACTTGCCTACAATCATTAGATTTTTCATTCGGAGAAACCGCCACTGGTAGAAACGGGTATCAAGTGGCGATCGCGATTGTTAAGGTTCGGTCGAAGAGAACGATAAATTTCGGTCGTTTTAATTCCCATTCGTGAAAGCATAAATCGTCGTAGATGTCGCCCACACGCACACAAACCGCGCACAGGAAACAGTACATCAAAGAAAGATAAAATTTGCATGTGCACGTAAATGTCCTCGTCTTCTTTATTAGCGGGGTTCATAAATCGCGACCACTTCACCGGATATTAATGCATGTGTATGCCCGATCCTCGTCGCGTCGCGTCGCGATCTCCCTATTTTCGCCCTCTCACTTCGTTCCGTTCGCTCACTCACAGGCGATAACGACGATGGGACACCTACCATCAACACCTTACTCTCCATTTCAACCCATACACTTGCTTTTGAATTACGAGCTACACACTCATTCTCACTCCTTATTATTACAGTGGAGTCGTTAGACGAATATTTCGAAAATATTTTTTATAATTAGTATCTACACTCACTAAAGCATAAAAACGTAAAGTTGAACACAAAAATTGTACCCAAAATAGGTAATTTTTTTTAATTTCCATTTGTTTTGGGAAGCGTCTTCAAACGGCAGCAGCAATCGCCTAAGCCTTTTTATAAATATCTAACTGCAAACAGCTTTAGAAAATACCACAAATAGCTCGGTAAGCGCCATCTGTAGTACGATGCTACATTTTAGGATTACGTATGCTCCAACAAGGTCCACTTTAGACACAGCAGACAAAAGTTGGTCTGTGTTCTGTCGGAGCTGTCTGCGACGCGCTGATGAGATCCAAATAAATCGAAATCGCGATCCGTGTCTGGCAGTTTCGACAGAATACAGACCACTTCGAATTATTTTATTCAATTGTAAAGATTCTCTACAAGCTATCAATTTCGATTCAAAATTTACAGTAGGGTACTCTATAATATAACTAATTTTGTAATGTATTGATCACACAAAAGTAGAAATGATTGTATAGATCACTGGATTCGCTCCACAGTGTCCAAAATAGGAGAATCCAGAATTAAAATCCAGGACATACACAGAATTCATCCAAAATACGGGAAGATGGTAGGTACATGAAATTAAAACGCTTAGAAACAATTGTTCCCATCAAATATTAATCAAGAGCTATCACAAACTATTATTATTCTATAGATAGTTCTTATGTTACATAGGATTAATGGTGTTCTCTTCGCTCTACAATGTCGTTGTGAACTAAAATGTCCACGTTATCGTAGCTTCACATTGAACGGAGTTATTGAAATTGAACCTTTTGGTGGTCTTCATGCATAACCGATTAATAATAGTCGGTTAGGGAGTAATTATAAAGCGGTTTGTTGGGCTCAAACGTATTTATGAGAGACCGTTTAATGCTGTGACGAATTAATGACTATTTAATTGGCCATCTTTACGAGATGATTACGGCGGTGCAATCGCAAAAATCCTCGTTGAAATGATTGTTTATGGGCAGATGTCGTCGACCGGATCGCTTTCAATACTTTTTACCTTTTATACGCAAACAAGATGATGAGCCAGGCTTCGTACGGACTTTTAATTAGGACTAAAAATTACACCCAGTAATTAAAAGGTTTATGATAACCATTTGTTACACTGTCATATGATAAAGGTTCGACCGCCAAAATATCTTCAGATTTTATTAGGTACATTTCAGATTGACGAAAATCATTGGCGATTGTAATAAAAATAAGGGCTTTTAATATTATGATAAGAGGTAATTAAAAAACAATTCCAGGGAATGGGTTTCCACACGATTTCTTGTATCGTCAAATTATTTAGGTGGAATTATTATTTAAATGATTTTGAAAATTCATTTAACAGTTAAAGATCTATTGGGATCCATCACATATTGTGTCAATACTTATCATTTTATCGTAATTTAAAAACTTAGAAATTGCACGGTACACTATAGGAACTACGATAAATTTTCCCTAATCGGCGCCATGTTTTTAGGCTCCTCCCATTTGACGGATCCCAATAGGCATCTAAATAGAGATACTTTTTGTTTAGTTACACATCAGAACGCAAATACAAATCATATCGATTACAATTATTTATTATAGACAAACATCTTTCACTATCACAACTGGTACAAACAGTAATACAATAAGACATTTTTTATGGACTCCATCAGCTACAAAACGTGGACTACACAAAACATTTAGCACCTGCAACAATAATAAAAACAATTTTCTAGATGGCACTTGACATTCTCCGAAGAGAATAATTATTGACTTACGTGTTCTTGCGACAATGGGGATAACCAGGGTCCGGTTCTGTTTTGGGACACGGGGTTGGACAAGGGCAAGCCGCAATGGCCGGTGCAACTAAACAGGGGAGCGGACACTGTGGTACACTGAGGGGTTCACAGGGACACACATCTTTTCGTGTCGGACACACCGGTACTGGTACGCAGACACTTCCGTCCCAAGGGGGATACACCGGGGGCCAACATGGATCGAAGCAGCGCGATAATTGAAAGGTCATTTTGTCTTTGACTTTTAATTTTGATTCGAAAAGTTTCCGAAAAAAATATGCTCTTGTAGAGATCGTGAAATGTTTACATTGACGTTGTTTATTTTATTGTTTTCCACAGTAACTTGGATCATAAGTATGTTTAAAGCGGTCGTCATTGTATTTATTTATTGTTTTTATAGGGCATTAGCGACCCGCCCCAGCTTCGCAAGGATTCAACGCTGATACTTAATATACTATTGAATGTCTTTATATACAACATTTACAGCTTTTTTGTCATTAGATAATACAAACCGGCCCCCCGGCCGGTACCACCGCAACCGCATGTCCCTGCATTTTAAATCTGTAATATCTTCGAAAATATTCATTTAAATTACATGCTGTAAGGGCCATATTGATCTATATTAAATGCACAATGTATTTAAAAGTATTTAATTGGATAAGGATTAATTCTGTATTGCTTAAAATCGCTTCGTAAATAAGCCATTATTTCTCGTAAAAAGTAAAGGATAAAAAATGGTTATTGTGGGTTATCCCTAAGAGATAGACATATACCATCGCGGACTTTTTTGTAGACCTTT